TTAAAATAATCTCATACTGGCTTTACTCCCGAGTCGACCCTTGTTCCTTAGCTGTTCCCTTCTCCTGGTAGCTCTGCGCATGCACACACTGGGAACAGGCTCCATCTGTTCCTCTGCCTCACTGATGTCTGACTCTGACGGCAGCTGATAACTGTCAGACGGCCCTGGCCCCCTCTCTGCCTCTGACTCAGAGCCCTTATCAGAGCCCTCCCCAGACTCCAGGACTGGCCCATGTTCCTCCCCAACCCTCCTCACTGTCCGAATCTGCTGCCAGATCCGCTGGCCACTAGCAGGCCACAACAGTGTGTTCATTTACCATTTGTGTCAAGTCTCGACAGGAAGAGCCAGTATGAGATTATTTTAAGAAACATTTCCGTCTTTCTGTAAGGAATTTATGTAGTTATTTATATACATACTCCAAATCAAGTGCTCTAAATCTCCATAAATAACGTTGCAGACACCGAGAAACGCTAAAAATTAATGTTGTAATTACATCCTTTGCGATCCAACAGAGAGATGATTTACAGCCTTCTCCTTGTTAGCTACAAGGCAAAAAACTTGATGTGCAAATCTGTTTATCTCATTAAAACAAAAGCTGATATTTGCAAAGATCTCCATCCTGGGATCTATGGCATAGATCCATCAGCTGATACGGGTAAGCCAACAGCATCACTGTCTGATCACACAGTAAGGCAGAACTTTAGAATTATACACAGAATAAACTTAATCCAGTAAATAAATTGTCAGCCCTGAAGCTGACCTTACTATGGCGGACGCGGCACCGGGGCTTCAGAAGGGCTTTCGCCCTTGCCTCACCGGCCATGAAGCTCACCGCATGTCACTGCCATGAAGCAACTCCTCGTCCCGACAAAAACCCGACAAAAATTGAAATTGAATTCTGTTCATTCACCTCCAGCAAAGTCTTTCGAGGGAGGATTTACCGTCACAGACCTTATCTGGCTTGGAGAGCTGCCAGGCCGATATCTGCAGAACTTGGCAAGGAGTCTCGGAGAGTCACGAACCAATTAAGCCAACTAATTGTGTCCTGCAAACTCCACTCCCCTTTTGATCCTCTTGTATTTCCTCTGGGAGGGGCCATTCACCGTCCACCTGTGGCCTTACTCCCAAGTCAACCCCTGTTCTTTAGCTGTTCCCTTCGTCTGGCAACTCACAGCATGCACACACTGGTAACAGGCTCCAGCTGTTCTTCTGCCACAATGATATCCAACTCCAAAGGCAGTTGATAATTGTCGGAGNTATTCTGATTAGTTAGTCCTCTGTTTACGACCAGACACTTAGCAATCATTTGAAGTTGCAAGACCATCCTAGGGATACTTACGACCCAGAATTGAAGTTTTGAGTGGACCCCTGCCAGGGTCACACAACTGCACCTCCGGTGCTTAGAATTGGGACAAATTTACGGCCCTTTGCAGCATCCCACATTTTATGACTTTTTTTTTGCTGAAAACAGGCATTTAAGGCAGGGGTTGCTGTGGGGGTGGCTTTGCCAAAACCCAGCTGTAAATGCATTTTTGGCAAAACTACCCCCACAGCAAACCATGGCTTCACTTAATCCCCAACGATTTGCTTTAACTGCCACAAACATTTAGAAAATTGAGTCAGTTACATGGGTGACTCAGTTCATGACCATGGACAGACCCATTAGTCATAACTCAAGGATTACCCGTATCTAGCCTTTGGTCTAAGAAAAAAGGGAGAAAATGAGTTTTTGTGCCAACCTGATAAAAACAGTGAATTCTTTTAGATGTAGCTGTGACAGGTGGAGATCCAGTGGATTAATCCATTTCTGCTACTCACATGCGGCCTCTAACTGGGTGTCTTGCTCTTATGGCCATACGGAAAACAGGATTTTGTCCAGTAAGGTGATCGCAGCTTGCAAAAGATCCATGGACCCTCCTTCCCCCTTAGTACTTTTTGATTCCTTTAGTGTAAAAGCAACATGCTGCTCCACAGCCGTTGACTCTCAAACTTGGCAACTCCAAGAGGCATGGACTTCAATTCCCAGAATTCCCATCAGCCATACTGACTGGGGAATTCTGGGAGTTGAAGACCATCTCAAAGCTTGATAAATACTGATTAATAAAGATGCTTCTGGACTCCAAAGTGCTATTGGAAAATTAGAATTGACAAAGTAGGATGTTCCAACTCTAAACCACCTATCCAGAAAAGGGGAGAAAACATGTGGCAAGAGAACTATTGGTCTCCTCATAGATGTTTGTGACTATTTGCAACTGTACAGTTGGTTACTTGGTGAAAATGTGTCACGTTCTTAAATGTGACTGAAATAAGCAGGGACACTACAATCTGTTGGAGGAACCCACAATATTGATGGCAGGAACCATACAGGAGAACGGCATCCAAGAACCAAGTTAGGGTTGGAGAAGCTAACTGAACCCAGTTTTAGGGCTTCATCCCCTTGAATGCCCTTTATTGGTCAGTCATCTCTGGACAGATGTACAAAATGGGAAAACCTTCCATGGATGAGCTACACAAAAAAGCTCGTTTTTCAAGGAATTAAAAAACTTGCAGAAAAAAATAGCAAATGTTTTTTGTCAGATTTAGGTGGGCTAAATAATCGGCAGGCTAAAAATATATAGGGTAATGCATGTTTATGGTAGATTTGGCTTTTCTAAGCTCCACACCTTCTAGATATTTCACCAGCCCCAATAATCCTCCCAACATCTGTACAATGAAATCAAGATATTTATATAAAAAAAAAATTCTGCAGAATGGAGAGGTTTTCCATACACGCAGGGAATTTCATGTTTAAAAGCAAGACGTAAAGATCCATCCAGGGACTGCCTTTCTACAACTAGTCATCTAAAGGTACCAGCAAATTTTCAGGCAATTATCTCTTAACATTTAGAAACTGCTCATCCAGGCCTATCTCCAAGCAGGCTTAAATCTATTTGAGAACCTTGTTCTTTATCAGTAGAATAGTTTACGTTATCTGCAATTCCAAGCCTACTTATGTATTTCTTTTAAGCATGAATGAGATTTAACAGCCTTGTAAAAATACTTGGTTATATTTTGTAAATATAACCTATGCAAGGTACAGCCAGACACAAAGCTTGACCTCATAAAAGCCAGTTTTACTCGCTTTGATCTGCTAGCAAATGGAGGTTTCCCCCCCCTCCAACTCATTTGCCTGTGTGTTGGACACTTAGTTCTGCAGCTCATTTCACAGGGTCC